ACCCATACATATATATATATATATATACACACACATACATACATATATATATATATACACACACACATACATTTTTTTTTCTTTTGGAAATATGTGTTTTCACCACTCATAGGAGAGAATGCCTTCTGGCCTTAGCTAGCACAGAAATTGTCCTCACGTGGTGATGCCAGTGAGGAAACTGCCTGGGAGGTGCAGTGGTCTGATGCTGCGTAGGTAGGTTTAACCCTTCCATCGCACCCTTTCCCACTACTGCTGTCACTGTTTTCTAAGATCAGAAAAACTGACACCATGTCTGGAAATAACTTCACATTTCCATAAACACTGCAAAGCTTCTCCCTTCCCATGAGGTGATGTCTACAAGCCACATCATAACCCTTCAACTGAGAATTATTATTTTTTTAAATATACACAAAACACAATTAAGTGGAATTAGGGCTGTTGACCCAGAAACGAAACAGCTGTTGATTTCCAGACTGCTCATCATTAGCGAGAAAACATGAAGTTCTCTCAGCTATGAACAATATTGAACATAAAGTGCACGTGCCAGGAGCTGCCTGGCAGTATACAAGGCACGAAACAAAACAGGTGTCAAACAATGATAAGGCTCAACATGTAAATCAAGACTTGAAAATATTTATTAATGCTGAATTTCTCATCGCAAACAAAATATTTTCAGAAATGCAGAGATATGATTCTTATCACCCATGCAAATGGCTGCTTGGATGCTTGCACACTCAGTGGTACCCTTTTAGTTAAGGAGCCATTGAGTCTCAGCTTCAAGCGCAAAGAAGTGCAAATAGCCCTTGCACTTCAGAGCTCAGCTTCCTTTGCTAGGAGACAGTTGAGCAAAATCCCAGCGCGCTCTGATTCATTCTGCCTGCTGATTGGTTGTCCTCCCTGGCCGCTGACATCATCCTGTTGCTGGGTGGAAAACTTCTGCAGCACAGCCCTCGACACTGCCTTCAGATTCTGTGAAGGGGACATTGTACTCAACAGTGAAATTAGACAATAGTTTAAAATGGAATTCGGAGATTTTCTTTTTGTGTGATTGCTTTAGTCATCTCATGGCTCTTAAATGATAGCTACCCTACCACCCTCCACTGCCATAATCTAGCAAATGCTTTTGTGTGCCACTCATCCAAGCCACCCAGCCCCCACCCCCTCTAGAATACAAGAGAATAAGAAAAGAATCTTACCAGTTTTGACTGTAGATGGAAGATGTTTTATGCATCTTCCTGATGGGCAGGCTTTCTGATTGTTTTTTCTTTTATCAACAGAATTAAAGTATGTCCTCACTTGCCACAATGAATTAGGAAGTAGTACTTAGGACTTGATGTACTAAATGGCTTTCTAGCTCACTTATTCCGCCAGAATTCTTCGAGGCAAGATAAACTGAGGAAGTGATGGTAAAGGCCAACTTGTCTATTGCCTTTATAGTTTGCAAAGCATTTTTACATACACTGCCTCATGTGTTACTCACGACAGAGCTTCGAATTAGGAACTATTATTACTTCCCCCATTTTAAAGATTAAAAATCAAGCCCCCCCCCCCATATATTCAGTTCTTTGCCAGCCACATAGCTTAGAAATGACAAGGCTGAGAGTCAAAGCTAGACTTTCTGACCCTGGCTTCTGAACTCTTTCTACTCTGACATGGCATCTTTCAGCCTTGGGAAGTGAATCTAAATTTACAGAGACCAGTCTAAAGTAAGTAGCTGGGCCAGCAGGTGGCATGGTGGTTAAGGGTGCCATACTCCCACATGGTCAACCATGGTTCGAGTCCTGGACCTGGCGGCTTGCTTTTTCAATTTCCCTTTTTCTCTCACTCTGTCCCTTTCTGGTCAAATTAAAATAAATAAATATAGTTAAATAAAGTAATCCTTTTTAAAAAATAAATTAATAAAGTAAGTAGCTAACCCAGCACCAGAATCCAGCAATTTTTATCCTCCATATGGGGCCTTTTGTCCTAATCCTCTTGGTATCATTGAAGACAACACTGTTCTTATGCTTTTCTTTAGAGATGCTCTTAGATACACATTTATTTTAGAAATCTAGGCTTTTACAAGCTTTTACTTATACAAGCTTTTACTTATTAAGCACAGCTCTGAGGATAAAAAATAAAAGCCTAATAATTCAGATGCACATTTGCATACATTACGTAAGGCTTCTATAAGGGGTAAGATTATCCAGTTGCAGGCTTATTTTAAGTTTTAATGGAATGACTTTGACAGAGCAGAAATAGCAGCCTTAGGAACAAGCTTGGTAACGTCAATGTCAGAGACATTTCTGTGGTGGATGGCGGGGCTTCTCCTTGGCTCTGAGGAGACACTGGATTTCTCTTGTCTATTTTCTCTGGCCAGAAATGATGAACTGCCCTTTGCTTGGCATGCCTTTGTCATTCATCGCTCTCATTGTGCCAAACCCTCCTTTTCTCCACCTGTAATACACATTGAGAATGTTTTGGCTTCCCTAAGTTATTTTTACATAAGCAGAGCAAAATAAACAAGTGAAAAGTTTGTTTATACTATAGAGCCTGCCATATCTGGCTTGTTCAGGTGAAAGCAATACTCCCTCACCCAGTCTTATTTTTCTTTTTTTAATTTGCTAGAGGGCCTTGCTGGACGGAGACAAAAATTAGAGGGAAAGTGAGAAAGTACCCACCCCCCAACAAGGGATGGTCACCCTTCAATCCCTTTTCCATTTCTCTTTTCAAGATTTTGGGTGTGCATATAAAAACATGTGCCCAGTGTGTTTCTAAGCCACTGGGTCTGAAACTTGAACCCACAGACAGCCTGTGGGATCCAGCTGCCTTAACCACCATGCCACTGGCTGGCCTCATTTATTTTCAAATAAGACAGAGAACTGTTCAATAAAGGCTTAGGAGACCAAAATGTTGGAGGAAAGGTATAAGAGTAAGACAGAGAAGGGCACAGCTTAAACAGACATAGAGGCATAGGTTTTTGTGTTCTTATTTTTAATTGCCAGAGGACAGGTCTGCTCACAACAGAGAGACAGAGAGAGAGGAAGAGAGAAAGAGCACCCCCCCCATGGGGCTTGGTTATGCACAATCCCTTCTCCATCTCTCTCTCCTACTGGGATTTGAGGCAGGCATGCACCTGTGCCCAGCATGTTTTTCAAACTGCCAGGGCTAAGATTCAAACCATGGTTAGCCATGTGGAATCTGGCCCCCTTAAGCACAAAGCCACAGAATCAACCCCTTATCTTGTATGTTTTATTTTTAAAGAATTACTTATTTAATGTTATTATTATTATTTTAAAATTTGCTACAGGATGTATGCACTCATGAGAGAAACACACACACACACACATGCACACACACATGCACACAGAGGGAAAGTGAGAAAGTAAACCACCAGGTTTGAGACTCAAATTGTGGTTGGCCATGTGGGAGTGCAGTGCCTCAACTACCAGGCCACCTGCCGGCTCTCCTCGGCTTCTATCTTAATTTATACGGCTGCAGTCCCTAAAGACACAGCATTGTCATTTACAGTTCCCAGTGTAGGCGGCAGATTCCACGTGCTTTGTGTGATTCTTTCATTTGCCAAATAGTTGCCCTTTCCCCTTGGAGACCTGTGGGCTGTGTGTCCCCTGGATCCTCAATCTTCTTCTTCCTGTGTGGTCAGGCACATGCAGGTCACTCTCAATTTTGGCAAAATGCTCTCTCTGAGACTGGCTTCCTTTCGCATTGCTCAGACCTTCACATTTCCACTGCCTGTAGAAATATACACTTACTGATTTTCGTCTGTCCGTGTTATTTTAAGGTGATAATTTGTCACTTGAAAAATAGAATTTTTGCCTCATCAACTCTCCACAGTGAACCTGAGCAGCTCTGCATTCAGCTCTCCTCTCTCTGTTCAGTGGCTGCCCCATCCCTTTGTTCATGTTGCCTCTGTTGCCAGAAATGCATGGCTTAAAAAACAGCACAGGCAGGGAATCAGCAGATGGCATAGTGGCTAAGGCTCTGGACTCCCACATGACCCACCACGGTTCAAGTCTCGTACCCAGGCAGCTTGAAAAATCACACTGGGCATGTGTGCATGCATGACCCATAAACCCAAGAGGAGGATGGAGGAGAAGTTATTGCAGCATAGCCATCCCCTCAGGTGGTAGTTTCTCACTTTCCCTCCCTCTCTATCTCTGTTTCTCTCTGGCAAGCACATGCAAAAAGCCCTATGGTGGGGGAAAAAAAAGGCACAGGGAGCAGACACTGGCATGGAGTAGCAGGTGATGCTCAATTCAGTAGCCCTCATAAGGAGGTTCCAGGTTCACATCTGGAGACTTCCCTGGGTATGTGAGGTATGCGTGTACCCATGATCTGGGGCCAGCTAATGCTGGGAGGAGATTAGGGCATCAAGACCTTATTGTAGGTGTTGTCTCTCTGCCTCTTTCACTCGTGGAAGGAAGGGAGGGAGGGTACAAGGAAGGAAGGAAAGAAGAAAGGAATAACATATTCACTTTTTAAAAAACTGGCAAGCCAGCCAATCTCATAGCTCAGCAGTTAAGAAAACCAGATCCCACAGGATCATACACCATTTGAAATCTGGCTCTGACAGCTTGAAAACGTGTTGTAAATGTATGTTCGTATGTGTGTCCAAAATTCTGATGGAAAGAGAGAAAATTGGTGGTGTGACCATGTCCCACTGGGGTGCATGCTCGCTCTCGCTCTCTCTTTCTCAAGTACAGCCGACCTGCTGCAATTAAAGGGGAGGATGGCACAGCATTCAGGCTCAGTAAGTGTTCACAAGCACACATCACGTTCTGAACTAAAGGGTCTCCAAGCGCTCTTCTGTCGTGACGTTCTATGTCTCTCAGCCCTTTGCAAAATTGTGAACTGGGTCATCCAAACCTCAGGTTGCAGACTGGGAGGAGGGATGGGAACTGAGATGAATGTGTGAACAACTTAACTTCCTGTTGTCTATGCCTTTTTTTTTTTTTTTTTTTTTGGTAATTCAAGGAGAATAATATACCTACCTTTTGTTTGTGGGTAAATAGGAGAATACTAAATAGGAGAATACCTGTGAAGTCCATAACTGAGAACTGGTATTTGGCCTATAGAAAAGTCCCAATAAATGGCTCCAAGTATTTTTGCCAAACTGATATAAACTCAGATACAGTAGGAGAGAAGAAAAGTGAGGAATTAATGCAAGCAAATTTTCAAAACAATATGGAACACATGATTGAGAACAAAAGTACGACATGTGGGGCCTGAATGAAAAACTTCAAATATCTCAAAATGATTAACATGAAAAAGAACATAGAATTTAAAAATGGCCTGTTGTTTTTTCTGTTTGCTTTTGTCAATGAGCTTTTCCAAATTAAACTGTGGTTATTATTATATTTGTTATAGGGCACTTATCTCTGGCTACAAGATAGGGAGACACTTGCCAGGGGGGGAAATATTATCTGCTATCCTACATGTACTGACTAATTAATCGATCATTACCTGGAGAGGATCTCTGCTGATGCCATGCCAAGGGACTTAAGGGTCTTTAAGTCTTATCACCATTAACTACGGTCTAGAATTACCAAAAAGAAGACATATTCCCTAGATCTGCATGTAGCATGAAGTTGGAAGAGAAAACTACTAGCAAGATTCAAAAGATTCAGCAGGCTGAGAAGATGGCATGAAACCAAGAACAATATAAAATTTTATATTAAAAAAAATCAAATCTCTAAAAGCAGGAGGTGGAAAAACTGGTTCTGAAGCAGTCCAAGTGGAAAGACACAGGGAATGATTTACTGGAAGGTCTTCTCGGTTTGACTACAGGCTGCTTTAATGAAGCCAATGTCATTATTAAACTGTAATATCCTTAAGGGCAGGGGTCACATGTTAAATATTTTAATATTCCTCCCTTGTCTAGCATAGGGCATACAGAGCATGTGCTCCATAAATCTTTCTTAAACTGAGTCAAAACTAGAAACACCTCAAGCAATAGGCTCCACGAATGAAGGGGCGGTGGTCAGAGCCATTGGAGAAGGCTGTGGTTCTGTTCTTGTATGGAGTCTTCCTGTTACTGTTCTGGGCCTTCACCTTCCGTTTTCTTCTAACGATAACAATCAAAACTCTTTGCCTGCTTTAGGAGGCTGGGCCTGACCTCCCCCCTCACCCTCCCTCCCCCATCTCACCTCAAGTCCCACTTCACATCACTGTCCTCTCTTAGTCCCTTGAAGGCCCTGCTGGTCCTTCCAGTCTGAACAGGTGCTGGTCTGCTGCGTGCAAGACTCCTCCCATCCTACCCTCTGACACACTTCCCACTTCTGTCATCTGGTTCACGGCTGCCTGCCTTGTTAACTTACTCAGGGAAACCTCTCCTGAACCCACAGCCCAGGGCAGGTCCTCTGAGGCATTCTTTCCCAGTTTCCTGAGTCCCCTTTCTAGCCAGAATCCCAGTCATCATTTGATGTGAACTGTGGAATTATTTCAAATCT